TCTGACTGAGAACTGGTCTTGCTTCCATTCACATTATTAGCCTTATCAGCTTCTATCAAAGACTTACAATCAGAATGAACAAAGGCATCACTATGATTATTTCTCTTAGTAATTCCTCTGCTAGAAACCTTGTGTTTTGTGAAAGATTTTGAACTATTTACCAAACTGAAACAATTTGAAGATTTATTAGTCGTCCTTTGATTCTGACGATTAGTTAATAAAAATGGGTAGCTAGATGGGATGATGTCATGCAAAAAGTTATCTCCATCTTCAGATGACACATGACTCAGTTTTGGTTGAAACGACTCATGAGAGAAATTTGGAACAGATCCAACAGGAGTTGCCACTGATTGCGTCTTGAGTTGCAAAAAGGGACGATTGATAGCAAGAATCTCCGGAGATCCAGTCATCTTTGCATGTGTTTCTTTATATGATTGGCTATCTGAACAACGCTGGACAGAACTGGTTTTCCTAATATCAGGAAAAGTGGCACTTTTGTAATTGCTAGTTGCGTGAAGAGAATCAGGTTTTGGTAACATGTTTTCTGTTTTCTTTTGAAATGACTGAATCTTGCTTCTAAGTTTGTACTCATGAGTCTCCGATAACTTAGAAATTAAATCTTTACTCTTTGAAGGTTTAGTGTGTCTGGAGGTGATTTGCTGAATAGAATGCTGTCTTTTTGTTTTCCTCATAAAAGCATCTTCATTTGACATTTTTCCAAAGTTAATGTGAGTTTTCAAATGTCTTCTGAAATCCCAATATTGTTTAAAAATGTGGTTACAATATCGACAACGAAAAACCCTGCCTGGAACATGAACTTTCATGTGTCGGTTGAGATTTGTAGCCTGTGAAAAGGCTCGATTACATACTTCACAAACAAATGGTTTCTCCCCTGTATGAGTTCGGATATGTGCCATCAAGACACTGGAACTTGAAAACCTCTTGCTACAATATGTACAGCTGTGTGGTTTCAATCCAATATGCAGTTTTTTGTTATGTGCATTAAGTTCTGAGATGCTGGGAAATCTGAGTGGACAAAATTTACATGGAAACAATCCAAGAGGCAAATGGGATTTCTTATGCCGATTAAGATTGTTCAGCTGAGAAAATAACCTTGGACAAAATTCACACTTATACGGTTTCTCACCAGTGTGTGTTCGAAGATGCTTGGTAAGAATGAACTTCTGGTTGAATGACTTATTGCAAAAATTACACTGGAATTGCTTGGATTTTACAAGGACATTTGAAGGGGAACATTGATCTGCCATATCTGTTGTAGAGTTGGAGCTTACAAAAATAACCTCCGATAAATTCTTATTACCAGATATATTTTCAAAATTTACTGCTGTTGCATCAACTGAGTTGGAAACAGACTTCCAGCTAGCAGAGTTAGTTTGTAACAACTTATCATTGGGACTGAGTGTACGTTCTCTTGAATGAGACTTTTGTAAAAGAGGTGAAGAAGATGGAATGGGCAATATATCTTTTTGTGGAAGATTTTCTCTGTATTCAATTTGGCAAACCAATTCAGATGATGGAATTTGAAACAAAGCATTTTGTAGTGATTCATTTGCTTCTTCTTGTTTGGAATTTTCTAAAATTTGTGAAGAATTATTCTCAGTGAAAGATGCAGAATCAATGTTAACTTTACCGCGTGCTTTAGAAGCCTTTACAGAAAACGGAAATACAATTTCATTAACATCCTCCGCTTTGTCTTCTCCATAAGTTCTGGACATATTTGCACATTCTCCAATGCTAGAACTCTTAGAATCAGATGACATGTTCTTTGATAGATTGCCAGACACTTCAATAGAATTAAGGCACTTTTGAGCAATCAGACATCTTTTCATTTCTTTCAAATCATCAACATTTACATTTTCATCATTTTCAGATGAAATCACATTGAACCGAGTCTCAGAAAGTGACTTTTTTTCAAATGCACGACTGGAATTAAAGAATTCTTACCATTTCCTTGATTGACATTCTTTTTAGATAACTGCAGATTTTTAGGTTTCATTTTCAAATACTTTTGACTGGGAGGTGCCTGTAATTTGATAGATTTATTACTAATATTCTCTGCTGCTTTCAACGGAATTTTTTTCTTTTGTTTCTGCCGAATTTTTTCTTCCAAAAATTTTATGCTTCTTTTAATAGAGCGTGCATGATACTTCAAGTGGTTCAGCAGTTGGAATGAATGAGGAAAGGTTCTCTGACAAAGTTGACAATGTAACAATTTATTTCTGGAGTGCAACTTCCTGTTTGTATTCAAGTTGGTCAACTGAGAAAATGGTTGCCGACAAAAGTCACACCCAATTTTCTCTATGTGCATTTCCATGTGTTTCACTAAAAGAGAGCTTTGCAAGAAGTGTTTCTTGCAGTATTTGCATGTAAACTTTTCAGTCTGGCTCAAGGGAGGCTTGGTTGAATTTGAAGAATTTGAAGGAGTCTCATAATCATTCTCTGAAGACTGGTTATGAGGCTTGCAATCGATCTTATCAACATCCTTTGCATGTGAAGAGTATGGAATTTTGAGGGATTGCAAAGCTTTAGAGCAAGTACACAAATGGCCAAGTAAAATATTTTTACTCGGAAACTTTTTCTTACAGGAACTGCATGTAAAAGATTCTGGAGATACATTGTTTGGAAGATCTGGAATGTTTTTTGTATTATTGTTGGCACTCTTCTGATAACTTGATGATACTTCTAAAAGAGTTTTGTGAGAATCAGTTTCTAAATTGTCAATGTCCCAAATTTTGGTGCAGGTTGAATTAGCTTCTTCTGATGGGCCACTTTTAATTTTTGCTGCTTGAATTTTAAAAATTACTCTCTGCATTCAGATTCTGAGCTGTGATTTCTTGAATATCAATCAGAGGAACTGACCAACTATGTTGTTCATCACTCCTCATCTCTTCTGAAGAGAAATCTTCAAGATTTATCACTTCCACTTCATTTTTCAGCTGATTATGGTCACTGACGCCTAAATGTTTGACAACCACAGAAGAATGTGGAGAATTTTCACATAATTCTTGCCTGGCATTTAATTCAGTCTTATCGTTATCATTCATTGAAAACACAGATTCTATAACAATTGATGAATGTTCCGAAACTTCTTCCGCTGCAACTGTTTCAATTGCATCAAATTCACTTTGCTTTTGATATTTGGCTGCTTTTTCTATTGACTTCTCCAAACCGGATTCATGTGTTATAACTACATCTTCATTACTTCCATTATTAAAGTCATAAGAAATGGAAGATTCATGGACAGCATTCAAAGCCAATTGATTCTTTTCACTTGAATGAGGCAATGGGCTATTAGGATGGGATGTTGATGGAAGAGAATTTGATGGACTTAATAAAATAATATCACTTGATTCTAAATCTCTACTTATCACGTCACTATTTTCAATGTGGCCATTCCGAGAGAGCATATCAGAACTATTTATAAGTTTGAAAGAATTAGTTATCTTTGAAGAACTTTCCAGTTCATTGTTGTTTTGAGTATCCAAATAAAGAACTTTATTTTGGTCCAAAGAACTTTCATGCTGTATCATTTGTTCATCTTTGTGCATTGTCAAAGAGTTAATTATTTTAGACGTATCCATGTCAGAACTTGACTGAAATTCAACTTTTACATTTTTTTCACAATCAAGATCAACTTTTATTGGTTTTCCAATGACTAAATCTTCATTTACTTCAAGATTCTCACTTGATAAAGAATGCGAAATGTTCAATTGGCCAAAGTCTAAATTGGAGACATTTCTTCTAACAGTATGATTCTCAGAATTTACAGAATCAGTGTAAGCTTTTACCAAGGGAATTTGATTAGGAACAGTTGGTAGAGAAAAATTTAACTGGGAATTATTAAAAGATTTTAGGCCAGAGGTTGAGGCCTGAATAAAACCTTCACTTGCAGTTTCAGCTTGAGGAAAGTCATTGTTATCAAAATAGAGTTCACTTTCAGATTTAAAGTATTGGAAACTCTCAGCTGGAACATGTGCATTTTCAAAACTATCATTGTAGTTTCTCTCTTTGGAATCTGCAAAAACATCTTGGCTTGAAGACATGAGCTGCAAGGCACCATTCAAACTGTCACCTGTGTTTATGCTGGTTGTGCTATTCACAGGTGATAATTTGTTGATGCTATTTGTAATTGATAAAATTGAAAGATCTGGCTTAATTTCAATCAATTTCATGTCATCAGATGGTTCTCCTAAAGCAACATCAAATGAAGAATTTTTTCTTTCTGATTCACTATAGAAAGAATTTCCTGAGTCAACAGAGGTATTTGTTGACAATTCCAATTTAACTTTTGGAGATGAAACATCTGAACTTTCTGAAAAGTTTGGATTAATTTGTTGGTCAAATGAAAGGGACTCTTGATTTTCTTCAGAGACTAAAATGGTATTATTTGCATTATTGAAATACGTTTTTCTCTTACTTTTATATTTTTGTTGATTGTTTGTATGGCATATAATTTCAGATTCAAAGTCTGTCTGAATTTGCTGATGAAAGTCATCTGCACTCAAAGCAACAATATCGTCGTCATCATCTTCAAAATCTGATGCAGGAATTTGCAGACAATTTGAAAGTGAAGACAAAAACGTTTGATCTTTGGTGTGAATCTTACAATGCCTCTTCAAATTGGCAAGCTGTGAAAATGATCTCTGACAAATTTTACACTGAAAAGGTTTCTCTCCTGTATGTACACGGATATGCTTAGTTAGTCCACTTGAACATGTGAAACTTTTTGGACAAAATTTACATTGGTATTTCCGTTCACGGTTATTGGTAGAATTTCTACTTGCCATATTTTTCTTTTGTTAATGAGAATAAATGTAAATAATTCTATAATCTCTCAGGTCTTAAGTTTTCATAAATTGTCTTTGCCAAGGTAATAGTTCTCTCTGGAAATGATTTTAGACACAATACATTTCACATTCTCCTTTACATAAAATTATATTTTTGATTCAGTTGAGTCGAATTCCAAGACATGAATTAAATTATTGGTAAATCCTGGTGCCAGTGCCTTGTACTGCACATTCTAATTCCCTCCCTAAAAAACAAAAAGTACCAAACAAAAATAAATAGACTCCAAAATAAACAAGAAATAGACAATCAAGTGTTTAAATTATTTAACAGTTTAAGCATTTGCACATAGTTTGACCAGATGAGTTGATCTTACAATTTATCAGAGAGGAATAGAAATTTAAATACAAAATCATAAAAAGTAGATGAATGCGATAGCATCAGGTCCTTAATTATCACAGGTTACAATACTTAAATGAAATGTTTATGTTAGACAAATTAAAATATCATATAAAGAAATATATATAGGGTTAGATAAAGGTTAAATGATTGTGAATAACGTGGTATGTAATTTGTGAAAATTTTGTAATCAGAAAAGAGATGATGAAATTAACAGAGAAAAGGAATTGGTAATAAGAAAAATTGCAAAGTTATTTCCATAATTTAATGTGTACAAGAAGGAATGATATGAATTTTATCAGATATTTTATACATATTCTTTGACTTCTGAATTGACAAAAATGGAAATTATACTAAGTTTTATTTAATTTCCAATCAAAATTACATAGTTTTACTATATTGATCAACTGGCTGAAATGTTAATGAAAATCTGATATTTTAATGAATGAGTTTTTGTTCTTTACTGGCTATAAAGTAAGGTTAGAAGGTCAGGTACTTTTTAATTATTTTGGAATTACTAAACACATCAGGATTATAAAGAGATTTGGAATATAAAATGCATGTAATTCCCTAAATTTCAAGTCAGTTAAATTTGCTGCAGGCGTGAACTAAAATTTGACCATAAACACCAATAACAATCATAATTAATAATTACTAAAAATGATAAAACATAAAAGTATTTTTTTAAAGAATGAATATTTTGTTTACAACAATCTTATTTTATTCTAGATTTTTTTAAAGTGTTTTTATAAGTTAAACCGAATTTATTTTGGGGAATTTAAATGGTCATATGAACAAAAATATTTTGCCACCATCTTAGAAAACAAAGTAAATTAAGTTTTAAAATATACTGGACCTCATTAAAATCTAGTTTTTTCTTTTAAAATAAGACCAGAGGAGAGTAATTTTAAGAAGTTACATTTATTATATGAGAATTAATGAAAATTTAAATTTGTTTTAAGCTTCAATTTTAACCAAGCAGGAAAAATAAGCCTTAAAGTTAATGAATATATTGTAAATAAAATAAATTCAAAAGCTTCAAGGTTCCTGCATAAAGACCACCGAGATCAGTGACCAGTTGTTTGCATCCATCTGTTGTAATTAATATATTGTTTTAGGTCCTTTTTCTAGAATCACTTTGAAGAGCCAGGTGGTTCCCACTAGTGGACAACCTGTGCAACAGAATTAAAATAAGGCAAGTACAAAGTTCATGTGAGAACTAAAACAAGAATCCAAAAAATGATTACAATAATAAAGAAAAAAGGATAAGTGAGATATAATGCTGAAATCAATCAGAGGACTATATACATCTATTTTGCATATATATATATATATATATATATATATATATATGTGTGTGTGTGTGTGTGTATGCGCATGTGAGATGGACTCTCCTGTCGATTTTGATATATAAGGATCTGACAACCTCATTTAGTTTTTATATGTGTTTTTATATTTAGTTTTTATATGTGTCATATATGAAACTTCAGTTCCACTAGTGACCCACATATTTGCTGGCATTTTTTGCCATTGTCTTTCATCTTTTAGCTGGTCAATATGACTGATTTAAAATTTTTTTATACTACTCTAGCACAAATATCTCCATTTATTTCTATCCAACTCACTCGAGGTCAGTATGAGGTACATTGACAGCTGAGAGGTTACTCTTGTCTTTATATCTGAGCCACAGCCGTCCAACATTTCATTGTGCACTGTTAAGCTGGCTATACATGAGGATCTTAGGCATTCTGTCATCACTCATTCTTGCAAGATGACCAGCGCAGTAAAGTTGTAACTGCATTAGGAAGGTCTGAATTCCACCAATGTTGCATTTTGTGAGAATATGGACACCCTATCATCAAAAGTATAGCCATAAGCTACACAGAGACAACTTTTGTGGGAAACATCCAGCTGATTGATATGGAACCTATATGGGGTTCACTATTCTGAGCCATAAAACACTATGGTCAAAATGACCACTTTATAAATCTGTATTTTGGTATCCAATTTGATTCCACTCTCCTTCATTAGACGGTGGTAAAGCTTCCCAAATGTTCTTGTAGCTTTAGTGATCCAATTTGTTATTTTGTCATCAAATGATGCATTTGTATTCATCTTACTACCCAAATATGTAAATGACTTCATATACTTCATATTTTTCCCATCAACCTGTTTAAGAGTGTCTGAGAATTGGCAAACGGGTGGAGGCTCTCTAACACCCTGAATCTGCTTTGGAGAAGGAGGCAGCTGATGGATTACTTCTATTTTCTTTATGATAATGGTAAAGCCACAAGCTTCGCATGCAACAAAAAAGTGGTCGACAAGTTCTTGGCCTTCCTCTAAGGATGTTGCCACAAGTGCAGCATCATCAACAGCAGATCACAATTGATGCTAGGTCAAAGTTTTAGCTTGTGTGAGTGCACATATTTATATAGTTGAGAATGTACTTGATGCCCTCAACTATCTGCTAATTGTAGAAGAGAGAAAGAAGGCCCCATTTAAAGTCAAATCTTCAAATTCTTTGATTCTCGTCTCTTTTTTTATACTAATCCTTCATGCATGCTATGTAACAGCAAAACAAAATAAAACTTCATACCAGGTTCTCTAAGTCAATATGCTTGGACTACATTTCCTCCTGTAAACAATAAGTGATGACATTGGCTAAAATATATGAACTTTTTTTAATTAACTTCTATGAACATTTCAAATAAGGCTGTATTATGAAAAGATACATTCACAGAAATCTGCTTACATGTAATTTGGCATGCAAAAATTTTTGTTTCAAATTTTGCTATAATAGTTTATTTACTATACTAATTGTGACTATGACTAATTATTAATGCCACTATATGTGTTTCCCTGTGCAAACCATTGAAAAATATATATTTTCAATAAAATGATTTGAAGAGAGGAAATGCCTTACATTCAAATATATCATCATGCTAACATCAAGAGTAAAGTTACATTTTCATTATGACACATTTGTATCGTTCTACCTTTTGAGAAGCAGTGAAAAATCAAGTCATTGTTAATTTTACAGTGTTGTGCAATTTTAGATCAGGTTTTATTTAACCATTACATTTTTTTATTAAATTTAAAACATTAATATGAAAACTTTGCAAAACCTCAATGATTTGTGTTTTAAGAATAAAAAATTGAACCAAATTGTACAAATAAAACATTTAGAAGGCTTTAAGAAATATTATTGTAATAAAATCATTTCACTCCAAGCAAAGCAATAATGCCACTAAGATGCAAAGTGTTGTTGATGTTATACTTTGTTACAATTAGATCTCTTTCTGATTCATTCTGCATGCTGGACAGATGTGAATGCCACAAAGGCAGAGAACGAAATAACAAAAGTCGTTTTCTGCACATTAGGCTCCATGAATGCCATCTGGTTTACGAAGTGAGCTCCAGCAGTGGCTAATCATGAATGTTCCCGCCAGAAAAAGAGATGCCCCTGGGGACTACCAGACCCACTTAAAAGCAGGTCCTTGTAAACAATACCAGCAGTTGCAGCCACAGATCTGCTTCCACCTTCACTGCTGCAACCATTACCACCACCTGACTGCACCTTTCAACAACTGTTACCATTCCTGGGCTTGACTATCCAGCTTCAACCTCAGCAAATACTAACATCTCAACTTCAACTCATAATGCTCGTACCCTCTGCATTAACAAAGTCAGATTCGTGACTTCTCCTGGCCCCTAATGCTCACGTCCTACACATCGGCAAAGTCGGATTCGTGAGTTCTCCCAGCTCCTGCTCACGTCCTACACATCGGCAAAGTCGGATTCGTGAGTTCTCCCAGCTCCTGCTCACGTCCTACACATCGGCAAAGTCGGATTCGTGACTCTCTCCTTAACACTCACAACTTCAGCAACCCACCACCATCTCCTCCGTATAACCGACATCTACAAGGCATTCCTTTGCAGCCATCACCATGGCCCCATTCAACAGAATAAGCCTACCAATCATGCCAAAGAACAGGCCTACCAACTGTGATCTCTATCAACCAATATGCACTGACCATACCCTGTGACCTCACACCAAACACACACACAAGTATTAGAACTCCCAGCACTAATCTTACACCCAACTGCCATCCTAACGACCGGCCCCTGAAATGGACATTCTACACATTCTTCAACATTTCTGTACATGCCAACAATAAACATTGTTCAAATCCAATCTTTGTTATTCCTTTCTCTCACTACCAAACGCTTAATATAACACTGAGAGTGAAAAAAGAAAACAAAAGACAAAATGTCAGTGAGGAGAAAAGCCAATAAAAGGACAGAATTCAGAAAGTCAGAAGATTATGATTGATATTGGATTTAAATTTTGGAAGATTGTAATTGACAGGAAAGTAAGAAGCCAGAAGAGAAGAAACCATTAAAATAGAACTTATGGTTACATCTTAGCTATTTCAACAGTAAAATGATAAAACCTTGTTGCCAATTTAATAAGACACTTAAATTTTCTATGGTCAAGGTACCAAAGAGAAAAATTCATTAGAACAATTAGCATAAAAATATTTATAGAAAAGGCACAGGGAAGCTACAGGTGGTAGGAAAAGTGAAGCCAAGATGCCAGGTCAGGATCAATAACATTGCAGACCTTTCTTTGAATTTTGTCAAGAATCTTGAGATATATAACAGAAATACCAGACAAGATATGGCTGCAATATTCAATGCACAGATGAATGGTATATTTATAAACATGCAAGATGGATTCTTGAACCAACTTTCCTAGCAGCAGACCTAGCAATTGATTCAATATAATCTTTCTGCTTCATGTCAGTGGAAACCATGATACTGAGAAGGTGCAATGTGTTGCTCTCC